GGAGAGAGGAGAGAGGAGAGAGGAGAGAGGAGGATCAAAACCATGGTCTTGCATATGCCAGGGATGTATGTATCACTGAGAGATATTCCAAGCTTCTCATTTTTCTGGTTAGGACATCTGGTACCATTTTGGATAAAACTAAGAAAAGTGAGTATCCTTGTTTGGTTCCTGATCTGGGAGGTAAAGATTTTGTTTTCTCACCGTTGAGTACGCTATCAACAGTGGCTTTGCAGGTATGGCCTTTCCCATGCTGGGATGGCTTCCTTCTGGTCCTGATTTGTATCCTGAAATCTTGTTGAAGATTTCAAGATGCTTCTTCTGCATCTGCTGAGAAGCTCATGTGATTTTTTTCTTTTCTTTAACCTATGAATGTGTTTTATCACATTAATTGATTTTCTTATGTTGAACCAACCATTCAGGATAAATCTCATATTGTCATGGTGTAACTAAGACTTTTGTGTGTTGTTATATTTGATTTGATAGTATTTTGTGGAGGAGGAGTTTCTTTTTTTTTTTTTTTTTTTTTTTTTTGGTTTTTCGAGACAGGGTTTCTCTGTGTAGTTTTGCGCCTTTCCTGGAACTCACTTGGTAGCCCAGGCTGGCCTCGAACTCACAAAGATCCGCCTGGCTCTGCCTCCCGAGTGCTGGGATTAAAGGCGTGCGCCACCACCGCCCGGCTGTGGAGGAGTTTCATACACAAAAATGTTCACTTGGGATGTTGGTCTGTAGTAGTTTGAATGAAAATGGCCCTCAAAGGCTCATATGGAGTGACATTATTTGAAAGGATTGGGATGAGTGGCCTTATTGGAACAGGTTTGGACCATTTGAAGGAAGTCTGTCATTGAGGCCAGACACTGATATTTCAGAAGCTCAAGCCACGTCTAGTTGCTCATTCTCTCTTCCTGCTTCCTGCTAATTCTGACTCTTGGCTCCTTCTCCAATACCATGTATGTCTGCCTGCACGCTGCCATGTCCCACCATGATGATAATGGACTAACCTTTGAACCTATAAGTTAGCACCAATTAATTGCTTTCCTTTATAAGAGTTGCTGTGGTCATGGTGTCTCTTTTCAGCAATAGGAGCCCTAACTAAAGACATAGCCTCTAACTTTTTGTTGTTGTTATTGCATCTGACTTCAGGATTTAGGTAATGCTGATTTTAATTTTTTTTAATTGGTTGACATACTTTTTCTCTTAATGTTTAGTATAATTTAACAATGATATTATCTGTCTTATGTTTTTTCATTGTAGGTTTGTGATTCAACTTCTATGTGAGTTCTAAGTATGTTTAGACTTCCTGTTTCTTCATGGATTAGCCTTGGCAGGCTGTGTGCATCTAGGAATTTATCTTTCTCTTGGCATTGACAATTCTTTTTTATTTTAGACTATAATGTTCCAAACTACTTTTTGATTCCTCCTAAAAGCTGACAGAATATTTTTTGTCTTTTTTAAAATATTTATTTTTGGCTTACTAATTGGGAGAAAAAAAAATCTGGACCACTTCAAGCACCATAATCAGTGTATTTTGAGTAAAGACATGGCTAAAAACTAAAACAGTGTCAGTGAAAGACATGTGGCAAGATATTTTGTGATCTTAGAATCGAGAGGACAAACTGGGAATTTATTTTTATTAAAGAGTATCATGGACAGAACTTGAAGAATGAGAAAAAAATTGGGAAAAGATATTTTATTTGCAATATCTAAAATCTACAATGGAATATTTTCAAGCCTATGAAAATTGACAAATGAACACTAGAAATGCCAATAAAAGGAATGGGGAAAGATAGGAAAAGGCAGTTTGTAGGGAGTGAGATTTTGAAAAGCCAGCAAGTACAAGAACAGAGACATGTGACTTAGATGTAACTACCGTGGGTTTGGAGAGATAGCTCAGTGGTTAAGAGAACTGGCTGCTCTTCCAGAATACTTGGGTTAGATCTGCAGCACCCACACTGTGGCTCACAACCGTCTGTAACTCCAATCCCTGAGGATCTGATACGCTCTTTTGGCATCTTTGAGTACCAGGCACACATATGGTATCCAAACATACATGCAGGCAAAACACCCATACACATAAATTAATTAATTAATGAAAAAAGACTATTATGCACCCATTATTAGAAGAGGAAAAAGTGGAGTCTGGGAGTTCAAGGGTTGATGGTTATTTAGGAGTCAAATACCAGTTCTCATTGACAGGAGTTCTTTCTTAGTAGAGTACTCAAGAAATAGTTAGTTAAATCACATAGTAACCCTGGGACCTAGCAAGCCTATTTGGGGGTACATATATCCCCCAATTTCAAGTCCATTAAATGGGGATGTTTGGGCTGTATTGTTTGGGGAGATGGTACATTAATCAAAATCCAATTAGAAAAAGACAAAGTACAAATTTGAACAGAAAATTTGGATACAAAGACATAATAGGGCATTAGAGAAATGTGCTCTTGGTGACTGGGAATCAAGGACACAGAAGAATATTGGCATGGCAGGTATAGGGAATTGTCGCGCCACAAGTTCTGAGACAGAGAAACCATAGGCAAGCCCTATAATTCCCAAGTCTCACATGCTGGCTCTTTTTGGAGAGGGGTGTCAATGGCAGACAAGTGTGTGTGGTATCATGTCTGTGTACCCTGCCAAAAATCTGTGCTCTGGGGTGTTTGGGAAAGCTGTTCATGGGGGTGTGTCTCCTTAGACACTGCCACAGGACACTCTGCATGAAGGACAAGTGCTAGAGACAACCTGTGGGTAGTCCCAGCTGTTGTGCCCGTCAGGAACCAGGAGCTAAGGAAGCCATGAGGGACTTTGCTGCAAAGCTCCCCAGTCGCAATAGAGTAGTCTTGGGAGAAGTTGTGGTCTCTGGCTGCTCCTGGCTGCTCCTGGCTGCTGTGGGGTAGCTGTCTCGACAGAAGCATAATGAAGTATATCAAACCAGAGCTCAGGGAAAAGAAATGCCTCCTTCCTCAGCTGTTTTTCCATCTGACTCTAGAGTTTTAACATTGTGTCAACTGGTAAAGCGAAAATATTTAAAAGGGTCCAGATTTATTTTTATAGAGTAGGCAGTGCGGGGTAAATTTGGAGCTGAAAGGCAATAAACTGGTAACTAGAACAGGTGGGAGTTGAGGATAATTTG